GGGGAGGCGGCGGGCAGGGACCACCAGGGCCCTGAGGGAAGGCCTGGGGGAGGAGGTGTCATGACTGTGACCTTTACTAGACGTTTGTGGTGTAAACGCTACGATTAAGGCCAGTTATGGTGACTCCTACGTCACCGGCAGGAACCAGCAGTCACTGCACACGGCCAGTCCGTCTGAGACCGTCTCCAGCCCCACAGGCCCCGCACCCTGAGCTGTCGCAGGGGCCGCCTGCCTGGACAAAGGGCTGTACCCCAGCCCCTCGTAGCCCTCCGTGCAGCCTGGCGGCGTCGGGGTCCTGTGTGTTCACTGTCCCGCGAACCCCATCTTACAGATGAGGAGCTGAGCCCCAAAGAGGCTCACGACCTCGCCCAGCCTCACCGCGAGCGTAACCGGGAGGAACTGGGCCGGGGAACAGCAGCGGGGAGTTCCTGGGGCCCCCAGTCCTGCTCGCTCCCCTCCCTTCCCTGGCCTCCCCGGGCCGCAGGGGGGTCGGAGCGTGGGGAGGGGCTGGGTGGGCCGCGCTGTGGCTCTGTCCGTCTAAGTAATCCTCCAGCCTCTGCTCTAGCCGGGAGGGGAAATTAAATATTAATCACGTATCATTTCCCCGAGATGGTCCCTCGCTGGGGCCGGAGGGGGGCCAGGCGCTGTCCCATGCACGCTGGATGGAGGCACATGGCGGCGCACGTGCAGGAGCCTGGAAGGACCGCCCGTGGGAGGCCGCCGCAGCGTCCCGCCTTCCTCCTCGCCCTCGCTGGCCTGCCGGCTTTAATTAAAACTCCACTTAATCAAAACCCACATCTTTCCCGGCCCAATTCTGGCTCTTTGTGTGTCGGGCTAGCGAGGCTTTCTGTCCACTAGCCAGATGGTGGCTGTGCCCCCGGAGCCTGCTGGCCGGGGGTGCCCGCCAGCTTCCAGGCAGGGCCCCATACCTCTGACCTGGGGGCGGCTAAGGGCAACCTGAGCCCCGCTGGCGACGGAGACCTGGTGCAGCCACACTGGGCCCACTCCTGGGCTCCCGTGTCCCGGCCGTGGACTACGGTGCCACCTTCTCCTCCCAGATGTTTCCCAAGTACCTACTCAGCGCCAGGCAGCCACTGGCACCCGGGAGCCCCGTGCCACCTGCTGCTGAGCCTGGTGCAGGCAGGGCCCTGAGCCGACAGCAGGGGGGCCCTGACGAAGGATTTGCCCCAAGAGACTGTCCTGAGGGCCAGCGGCCACCCTGGCGATTGCCCCAGACACTGAGGATCGTCAAAGAGATAAAGAAAGGAATAGCGTTCATGACCGAACCCGAGGACGTAGGGATCGGCGGGCAGAAATGAAGCAGGTGTATGTGACCACGAAACGTGACCACGAAACAGCACCACGTCATTGTCTCACAGCGAGACGTTCATCTCAGAAGCGAAAGCTGGAGTGACGGAGGCAGAGAGCACGCGCTCTTAACGGCCACCCTGGGAAACTCACAGAACTTCACCAGGCGACGGAGTCCCCGGGGAGAGTCGCGGGACAGGGAAGGCAGGTCGAGGAGCAGCGACAGGGTCAGGGGGCTCCGTGGGAGGGTGCAGAGGGCAACAGGCAGTTCGGCTCCTGCTCCCAACCACAGCCACCTGCCGGCCCTGCCCTGACTCGCAGAACCCTAGGGCCTGGGGGCCCCCTGACCCCTGACCTC